AACTGTTGCCTGTGAGGCAGCAACCTGGAGTGACAGGCTCTTATCACTCACAGACTCACTATGTTTGTCCTGTGCTTTGTGGGGGACATCCTTGATTCATTAGGTCAAGGCCGCATGCCCACATAGTGTCTCCGGAGCGTCACCTCTCTCGAGTGAGGGACAATGACATGCGTCCGAATTCAGGCATGATCAGTCCTTATGTGAATTCGCCGGGCGAACCGACAGTAAAAGGAGGAGCTGAGAAGCGGCATTAGGCTTCTGGGTGGTGTGTGCCTGCCTAACCTGGGGTGACTTAGACTGAGGACAAGGACCAGGAAAGGGGCGTAGGAGCGGGTCCACAGGAACACCTGTCCTATTTTATACACAGAAGTGTTCAGCCTGATTCTAGAATCACAGACAAAAGCCAGTTAGGATCTTTTCGATTAAACTTGTTGTATTTTGTCTTTTGACAGGTGAAGGAGGCTCAGTCCCACCATGGGGTCTGGATTGCACAAAGACTCGAAAAGAGGGCAAAGGCTGCTTTGTCGCTTGCAGGCCACACAGCAGGGGAGGATAAGGCAGGGACCCAGTGACTTGGAAGCCATGGCCTCCCAGTTCTGCTGTCACTTTTGCGAAGTCCTGAGAAGAACTCCCTGGAACTCCTTGTCACACGTGACAAGTTCAGGTTGCTCTGAGCTAGGTAGCTCCGCTGCCCTCTTGGTCGAAACACAACCTGTGTTGCTGGTCCTTTGAGAGAGGAGCTGTGTCATTGGCCCAAAGGAGGCAGGAGCATGTGAGGGTTCCAAGCTGCTTCCCCCATGGTGTGGGGGTGCAGGGGGCATTTTATAGATGACACAGCAGACAGCTGGTGTGTGGAGATGCAGGTTGGGCAAGTTCTCATTGGAGGAGCTTGGAAACAGGCTAGCATGGCACTGGCTCCTGCATACAGCTGCTTTGCCAAGCAAAACACTGAAAACACAAAGACCTTTGGACTTTCATAGCCTGTAGCACTGGGGCTGGGTGAAGTTTAAGGCAACGTCCTTGACATTTTCAGGGGCAGTAGGCCGGGCCCCTGGGTTAAATGGAAAACAGGGGGCAGGGGTTTGGGGCAACAGATTAAGCCACCGCTTGGGATGCCTGCATCCCACATCAGAGTTCCCGGTTGGACTCCCAGCTGCTCCACTTCCACTCCAGCTCCCCTAATGCATCCTGGGAGGCAGCATATGATGCACAAGTGCTTGGGCCCTGCTGCTCATGTGGGAGCCCAGAGAGAGTCCCTGGCTTGTGGCTTCAGCCTGGCCTAGGCCTGGCTGTGTGGGCACGTGGAGAGCGAAACCGTGGATGGAAGATCCCCATCTCTCTCTCTCTCCTTGTCACTCTGCCTTTCAAGGAGAAGAAAATAAACACGTTTTAAAATTGCCAAAGAGAGGACCGGCATTGTGGCACAGCGGGTTAAACTGCCTACCTGCTACACCAGCATCCTATAAATTATTTTATTTTTACTTTTATTATTTTTTATAGGAAGATTTTATTTAATAAATATAAATTTCAAAAGTAGAACTTTTGGATTCTAGCAGTGCATCCTGTAAGTTGAAGTGCTGGTTCGAGTCCTAGCTACCTGCTTCCCATCTAATTCCCTTGAACACGCCTTGGAAAGTAGCAGACAAGGGAACAAATATTTGGGACCCTGTCACCCATGTCCGAGACCCTAAGAGAGAAGCCTGGCTCCTGGCTTTGGGCTGTCCCATCCTCAATGTGGTGGCCATTAAAAATATATTTATGTATTATTTGGGCCGGCGCCGCGGCTCACTAGGCTAATACTCCGCCTAGCGGCGCCGGCACACCGGGTTCTAGTCCTGGTCAGGGCACCGGATTCTGTCCCTGTTGCCCCTCTTCCAGGCCAGCCCTCTGCTGTGGCCAGGGAGTGCAGTGGAGGATGGCCCAGGTGCTTGGGCCCTGCACCCCATGGGAGACCAGGAAAAGCACCTGGCTCCTGGCTCCTGCCATCGGATAAGTGCGGTGCACCGGCCGCAGCGCGCCGGCCGCGGCGGCCATTGGAGGGTGAACCAACGGCAAAGGAAGACCTTTCTCTCTGTCTCTCTCACTCACTGTCCACTCTGCCTGTCAAAAAAAAAAAATAAAAATATAAATAAATATTTATGTATTATTTGAAAGAGTGGCAGAGAGAAAAGAGAGAAAGAGAGAAAGATCTTCCATTCCTGGCTTCACTTTCCAGATGACCACAACGGACAGGGCTGGACCAACCCAAAGCCAGGATCCAGGAGCTTCATCCGGGTCTCCCACATGGGAGCTGGGGTCCAGGCACTTGGGCCATCCTCTGCCTCTTTCCCAGGCGCATTAGTAGGGAGCTGGGTTGGAAGTGGAGCAGCCGGGACACGAACTGGTGCCCATACACGGGGTGCTGGCATTGCCGCCAGCAGCTTTACCCACAACGCCACAATGCCGGCCCCCTAAATAAATAGTGTTACAAATTCTAGTGTGAACAGATGGACAGGTGGGAACTTGGTGTTCCACCGCCTTCCCGCTCTGCGCTGGTGCTTCAGTCACTATATAGGGCAAATGTGGACTCTTGGAAAGGACGGGCGGGCCCTGGGACCCCTTCAGGGCCTCTGTCTTAAGGGTCCTGGGAGTTTCCCGCAGGCATCAAGGGAGAGAATCAGCAGAGAAAGGCAGACAGAGGACAAGGGACAAGGCCAAGCCCAGTGGCTGGGTGAGGAGACAGTTCCGTCAAAGGTTACCCGAAGGCCGAGGAGAAGAGAGGAGACACCTTGGCGTTCCTGGCCTGGGTGCACCTGCGCTCCCGGAAGTGTGCCGCCCTACTTCCGGTTCTGGAGGGCGGGACTCCCTTTGCCATTTGGGCTGAGCCCCCAGTCCCAGATGGTGAGCCAGCTGGAGGGGAGGGAGTGGGATGCCCTGAGCGACGGGTCAGGAGCCACTGATAAGCGATGCTAGTTACTCCAGCCCCTCCCTGGCCTCCATGCTTCTGTCTTCTTGGAAGACCTGCTGACTCAGAGGGGTCACAGGGGCCAGTCCTGGAGTCGCCAGACAACAGGACTCGGGGCTTGAGGTGGAGAGATCCACCCTTGCGGGCCGAAGGAGTCTGACACCCACTCTGAAGTTTCAGACCCGAGGGTGGGGAGGGCTCCAGGACCTTTCTGCCATGGTGTCTGAGAGTCTGGGGCAGGGGCCCAGCCCCACCCTGCCCCAAGGAGCACCTGCACCCCCTCAGCCCCTCAGCTTCCCTCATGCTCGCTAGAATGACGTCTCTTGGGAGGGGGGCAACTTGCAGCCCAAATTACCCTTCTCAGAGACAGATGGTTTGAGAAGGCACTGGCAGGTTGAGGCTGGCTGGCTGGCTAGACTTGCTAATGTACAAGATAGTCCCCATGATGTGATAGAATCCATAAAGTGGTATATGGTTGTACGGGTGTTTGCCATGCCATTCTTTAAACTTTACTGCCTGCTTGTTCTTCGTTTTTTTTTTCTTTGTTTGTTTGTTTTTCTTTTTGTATCAAAATATCAGGAAAGAGGGGGAAAATTCTTTTTTTAAAGATTTATTTATTGGTCCGGCGCTGCGGCTCACTAGGCTAATCCTCCGTCTTGCGGCGCCAGCACACTGGGTTCTAGTCCCGGTCGGGGCGCCGGATTCTGTCCCGGTTGCCCCTCTTCCAGGCCAGCTCTCTGCTGTGGCCAGGGAGTGCAGTGGAGGATGGCCCAGGTGCTTGGGCCCTGCACCCCATGGGAGACCAGGAAAAGCACCTGGCTCCTGGCTCCTGCCATCGGATCAGCGCTGTGCGCCGGCCGCAGCGCGCCAGTCGCGGCGGCCATTGGAGGGTGAACCAACGGCAAAGGAAGACCTTTCTCTCTGTGTCTCTCTCTCACTGTCCACTCTGCCTGTCAAAAAATAAAAAAAAAAAATAAAGATTTATTTATTTATTTGGAGGTCAGAGTTACACAGACAGAGAAGACGCAGAGAGAGAGAGAGAGAGAGATAAAGAGAGGTCGGTGGGGATTCAGATCTGATCTGGTCTGGGGAAGGGGATGCCTGGATTGAGTGGCAGGGAGTGTTAGTGAAGTGGGCACCTGGGTTGAAACTATCTTGGTGCAGAGATGTGTCAGCTGTCAGTTGAAGGACTAGGAACCTGGGACACTCAGGTGACTGGGAAAGGCCAGGCGTGTGTCGGTGGACAAAGAATCGTGACAAAGATCCCATCTGCTGGATCACTCCCCCACATGGCCACAATGGCCAGAAATGGGTCAATCCAAAGCCAGGAGCTTGAGCTTCTTCCAGGTCTCCCAAGGGGGTGCAGGGCCTCAAGTGCTTGGGCCATCTTCCACCGCCTTCCCAGGGCACTAGCAGAGAGCTGGATCGGAAGTGGAGCAGACAGGACTTGAACCGGTGCCCATATGGGATGGCGGCTCCAGGGGCGGAGGACTCACCTACTGTACTCCAGCGGCCAGCTTGTCGGTGTTGGCTCTGATGCTGGGTTCAGGAAATTCAGCCGTCTCCAGGCTGAGGCCTATCCTCCAGTCCTTCTTCAGAAAGTCCCCGTCGTGGCTGAGCGCTGACCTTCTGCTTGGAGGGGAAAAGGAGGGCGTGGCTACAGCCAGACCAAGGGCGGGCCAGAGACAGTTGGACCCTGGAACATCAGGTCTGGAGGATGCACTGCAGGCTGTGGACAGTGCTGTGCACCTTGAGCCTGGGTCTGGCTAGGTGGGAGCTGAAGGGTCAGGCCACCCGGAGGCCAGAGGGAAAGGGGGAAACCTCCCCCCTCCTCTCTTCTTCCCCCCTGCAGCCTCACGATGTGGACCTTCATGCTCCTGGGCCTTCTCTGTGCCTCGGCCTCTGCCAGTGCCAGTAAGTGAGCCGCTGGGACTCTGGTGGCGGGGTGGCGGGAAGGGGCCCCTGCTCGGCTGGTGGCCAAGGCTTGCAGGGCCGCCCCTGAGCGGTGGGAACTGGGAGGTCCTTGCCTCCAAGCCCCCCTTTCTTTCCACTGCAGTCCAGGCCAGGTCCTCCTCCTACAGTGGCGAGTATGGAAGGGGAGGAGGAGAGCCATTCTCCCACTCCGGCCTCCAGCTGGAAGGGCCCATCACAGCCATCCGTGTCCGGGTCAACAGCCGCTATATTGTGGGGTAAGGCTCTTCCGCGTTCCTCAAGTTCTTACTAGCTCAGGAAGTGCTCTTTCACTCTGGGCCACCTGTGCCTCAACCAACAGGTCCCTAGTGAGGCAGGATGTGGGGATAGCTGTGAGAGGACTCGGCTTCCAGAACCGTACCCTTTGGACTCCTCACTCCCCGAATATGCCTGGTGGTGGCAAATCATTAATAACCACTAACTCTCAGGGGCCTGGAAGTCGACCAGCCCAGCCCACCCGCCTTCTGTGGTTTAAATTTTCTTTCCAATATCCCTGCTGGGTGCCCTGCAACTTTGTTCAACGCCTCTCTTGAGCAGTCCCCACTCCATTGCCAGTTGGAAAATTCTATCACGTGCAGAGCCAAAGTGTGTCCCCTGATCCTGGATCTGCCTCCTGGGACAGCATGGACAAGCCTCTTCCCTCTCCCACAAGGGAGCCACTCAGCTGTTAGAAAATCCCTTTGCTTCCACAAGTGGGGGAATAGGGTGGGGCATCGTAGGAAGCTGGACTCCAAATTCAAGGCCTGCCATGTGCTGTGTGTGGGCGACTCTGGGCAAGCTGCCTTCCTTCTCTGCACCTGCTGTCAGCCAGGCCAGGAGCTGAAGTTCTTTGTGTGGTCCTCCAGGGCTCACCCGGCCTACACTTTTGGGGGAACTAGCAGGGACTGCTCATGCTAGTGTCCAGTTTGGAGGACTCCACGTGCAGGCCAAACGGTCCTGAACTCTGATGACCTAATCAGTGTCCCGTTCCTGCCCTCCCACCCGTCCCAGTCTCCAGGTGCGCTATGGCCAGGTGTGGAGCGACTACGTGGGTGGCAACCTGGGAGACCTGGAGGAGATCTTTCTGCACCCAGGGGAGTCAGTGATCGCGGTGTCTGGGTCATACAGCAACTACCTGAAGACGCTGAACTTTGTGACTGACGAGGGTCGCTTCCTTTCCTTTGGAAAAGACACAGGCATAATGTTGTATGCTGTCCCCTTGCACCCAAACACCGTGCTCTGATTCATCAGTGGCCGAGCTGGCTTATTCGTCACCGCCATTGGCCTGCACTGGGACAACTTCCCCAGAAACTGCCCCAGCGACTGCTGAGCCCGCCTCCTCCGTGGCAGGGCCCCGTGGTGGGGTGTGACAACTCCCTGATCACCATTCCCATACAAATGGCTCAATAAAAGGACATGGCTAAAGCTGGTGTGCATGTGGGTGTGTGCAGGCGGGACCCACTCTTGGAGGGCGGTGTGACTCTCAGCTCTGGCTACCTGCTGCTAAGAGTGGGAGCACGAGGGAGACAGGTGTTGAGAATCCTGGGCTCTTCCGTACGTCGCAAGGAGAGGAGACGCTGGTTTGAACCAACTCTTTTCGGGGTTAGCTCTTGAGAATGTCTGTCCAAACAGGAGTTCTGAAGGGAAGGCTCAGCGGGGGCACACCGCCGAGCCCCAGGTGTGCCTCTCTGGCGCCCTCCCCCCTGAGAAGGGGCTGGTCTGACCAAGGGCTGTCCCCTCTCCCTGGAGCTCAGCTGCAGGTGGGTGGCCTGCACCTCTGTCCTCCCATCTGTCCCAGATGCGATCTCCCTGCTGAAGTTTCGCCCCAGTTTGTGCTTAAGGACTCCACCCCATTCCCCAGGCCAGTTCTTCCTCGTCTTTACCCCTAACCTGGTGCTCTTGCTTAGCCCTCTGGGAACTGGCGCTCAGGCAGATGAGAAGCCCGTGGCTGAGACACACCCATGTCCCGTATTAGAGCGAGTGGGTTTCATTCCTGACTCCACCTTCCTGCTGACGTGGCTCCTGGGAGGCAGCAGGGACGGTTCAGGATGGTTCAAGTGCCACCCACACGGAGCGCCGGTTGAGTTCTCCTCCAGCTTCTGCCCCCACTCCCACCTCTCTAACAAACAGAAAATAAAAACGGAGCCAGCGCCGTGGCTCATAGGCTAATGCTCCGCTTATGGCGCCGGCACACCGAGTTCTAGTCCCGGTTGGGGCGCCGGATTCTGTCCCGGTTGCCCCTCTTCCAGGCCAGCTCTCTGCTGTGGCCAGGGAGTGCAGTGGAGGATGGCCCAGGTGCTTGGGCCCTGCACCCCATGGGAGACCAGGAGAAGTACCTGACTCCTGCCTTCGGATCAGTGTGGTGCGCCGACCTCAGTGCACCGGCCTCGGCTGCAATTGGAGGGTGAACCAATGGCAAAAGAAGACCTTTCTCTCTGTCTCTCTCCCTCACTGTCCACTCTGCCTGTCAAAAAAAAAGACAAAACAAAACAAAACAAACAAACAAACAAACAAAAAAAAAACCAAAAACACGGTGCAAGGAGAAGCATCAAGATTACAGAAGTTATTGCGCCAAGGAGAAGAAATAGCCAGGATTTCCATGACCAGATGTCAGGCCACAAATCCCAGCCCTGCTTGGCCTGGTCCTGGAGCTGCTTGGCTTTGTCCAGGAAAAGTACGAATTTGGATTTGTACCTGTCCAGTCTGATTGACCCAGAGACAACATTCTTCCTAGAACATGGCACAGACACCCCCCAGAACAGCACTTAGCATGTCCAATTTCTTTCTTTCATAACCTTTGTGACTTCCACACACCCTCTTCAACTTACTTGAAACATGCCATCATTTCCATTCCAGTCTAGAGTAAACTAGCCATCAGGATTCTTACAACCATGTCCTTTCCTTATTTAAAAAGCTCTTTCCTTTTTAACCCTTCTTGCCAAGAACACTCTTTCCTTCTAAACCTTACTTACCAAGCACACATTTTTATCCTTGTGATGTTTTCCATAGAGCCTGGTTGGCTCTTTCTACCTTACCAGAAGTCTGAGGTCTCCATGCAGAGTGAAGGTGCCTTACAAATCCCCTGTGTGATCTAGAGCTCTGGTTAAGGCAATCAGTTTGCTAACTGAGCAAAAGTTCCTGGGGGCAGAGCACGCTTCACTAACGTGCCATGCCGTAACTGTTGCATACCCGGAGAAGCAGGTCCCATCTGACAAAGCTGCTTCCATCTTGAACCAAACTTCATGTGTGTTAGTCAGGGGGCTGTCTTTTAGGTCCCTTCTGCTGGCATAGATCAAGTCTATAGTCTCAGCAGAGGAGTGGAGGGGACCACTTTCCCCCTGGGTTAGAGTAGAGCAATGCCTTATTTTTACCTGAGGGTTTTTTAGGAGAACCTGATATTTTAGTATTCTGCGATCTGTGAGCCAGTGAGAGCCCTTTTGCTCTAATAGAGAATTTATTTGGTGTGGGGTATAAAGGGCGATGTCTTGTCCCACTGTAATTCTAGATACCTCCTCTGTCAGCAAGGCAGCTGCTGCCATTGTCTTTAGGCAGTGAGGCTATCCTTGTGCAACCATGTCTAAGGTTTTAGAAAAGTAGCCCACAGGTTGCTTAACAGGTCCCAGATCCTGAGTTAACCCTCCTAAGGTGCCTCCCTGCCTCCCAGTGAAGTACAGCTGGGAGGGTCTCTCTGGGTTTGGCAGTCCTAGCACAGGGCTTTAGTCATAGCATCCTTTAGTTGAGCAAAGGCTGTGGTTTGCTCTTTTCCCCAAAGGAGGGGTCTCTGCTTTGGCTGCCTGTCGAGAGCCTGGTTTAGGAACTGTGCTGTTTTCCTGTATCTGGGAACCTGATAGAGAACACTGGGACTGCCTGAATTTTGCAGGAGTAGGAATTTGCTGCATGGCCCATATCCTCTCTGGGGCAGGTTTTCTCTCCCCAGGGGTGAGGATAAGGGTTAAATAATTAACACTCTAATGGACTAGCAATGCTTTGTTTTCCTCTGGATACCTAGTAGCTAGTTTTGCTAGGAAGTTAAACCAATGTACAAGACTAGAGTCTCAGGCTGGGAAAGGAGACAGACTAACAAATCATTTACATTTAACCATCTACATTATGGATTATTGTGCACCCCCCTTAAGAGATAGGCCCTTTAAGTCCTCAGTGAGGAACTGTCCAAATAGGTGCAGGACTATCTGAGTTAGCTGTTACTGAAAGCCCTGTGTTTAGGAACTGGCAGGGAGGGCTTTCTAAGCTTAATGCTATTGGATAGACTTTTAAGGCCTGGCTGGGTGTGTGAGGCCCAGACCTATCCATGGGGTGCTGGAAGAGAATTGCAAGAGATGCAAATCCCCTTTAAGGGAGGCCCCCTGCTGACTTGCATTACATGGCTGGACTAGGAGGAGAGCTGAATAGGAGGCTCATAGAAATAGGCAACTTACATGTCGCTGACCCTAGGCCGTCCCCTCAATAGCAGTGGCTGGAGCTGGAAGCTGGGCGGAGGCTGGGCAGAGCCAAAGGCTTTTTAGCTCAGGGCCACAGGGTCTGTGGTTCTGAACCAGGAGTCCTTCGACACCCAGGGCAGTTCCGTGTCCAGTGGCCTTGCTCTTGGCAGCACTGACAGAAGGCATTTGCTGTCATGACAGCTGCTTGTCCAATGCCCTGGCTCCTCATATCAGCAACAGGTGCTGTTTGGGGTGCACTGGCCTTGCTGGGTCTCCTTGATGGCAGATCACTGTGTAAAGCAGCCATGGATTGGCCTGTTGCCCATCCTCTGCTGCTAGCTTGCTCCTCGTTCTCCTGATCTCTAATAAAGTAGACCAAATAGGCAGCCTCTATGATGTCAGTCAAGGGGGTGCTCAACCCATCCCTGATTTTTGAAGATTTCTTTAATATCAGGGTGAGCTATAAAACTATGGTCATGGGCAAATTCTGACACTTAGTATTTTCCTGCGATTAAGACCGCGCCCATGAGAACTATGACCCTTTAGGTAAGATCAACTGTGGTGACCTGCTTGCATACTTTGAGGTCATCAGTGCAACTTCCTATCTATCCCTCAGTTTGGTTTAAAAGGGGAGTTCTGCCCATTTACCGCGTACACCGAAAAATCGATTTAGCTGTCACATCAGTTCATAATTTAACCTCTTTTTCTGGCTATGCTGTTTGGGGGCCCTATACTGTGGCCAGGCATTATTACAGAAAAGGTCAGTCATCCCTTACATCAGGTCTGGGGATCAAACCGTA